AGGAGAGGGCCAACCGCGCACAGACGTGATCGACTCACGAACCCCGAAGGGGATGCGGAAACGTGAGGCATGGCAGCGCCTTCAAGACACCAGGTTGGGCGACGGGACGCTGCGATGCTCAGTGTGCCGATCTCGGCGTACCCTGGCCAGGGCTGTGCTGTGCTGTGCCGCGCTGACCTGATGTGCCATGTCGCGAGTGTGCTCTGAAGCGGTATGGATCGAGTCCTCCTTGGCATTCGAGTTCTGACCGAACTGATATGGATCTTAAGCTCGAGCTGCCTGAGCACATGGCCGCCCCAGAGGTAGTTGAAGTGGAAACGTGGAGGATGTTCAATCAACTCGACCTCAAAATCCGAATCAGCTCCGACGAGGAACGACACGACACGGAGCATAGGCTCATAGACGCGCCATAGGATGCGCCAGGGGCGCAGTAGGGGATGCGCCAGGGGACGTGTCAGGGGACGCATCAGGGGACGTGCCCTGGAAGTGCCAGGGACCTGCCGCGTGCCATGGGGCGGCCAGAGGACGTCATGTCAAAGGACGTTGCAAGGGGCCCGCCACGGAACGGGCAAGGGAGACGCCTGGGGACGAGCACGGAAACGCGACGAAGGACGAACCAGGGAACGTGCCACGCCGAGTGGCGTGCTAGGCGACGTGCCAGGGCACGTCACGCCAGAACGTCACAAGGGACGCACCAGAAGACGCGCCAGGGCGCCAGGGGACGCCCCACGGACCGACAGGGTTGGACTGCGACGCACTCTACTGCGACAAGCGTGCCGCTCGAGACATCCTCAACAAATCTTCATGTTGGACATCCGCCTGGGCGACCTGGACACGTGAAACCAAGCGTCTCGCTCGAGACGTTCTCAACACCTCCTCATGCTAGACATCCGCCTGGGCGACCTGGGCACGTGAAAACCAAGCGTTTCGCTCAACACATCCTCATGGTAGGCATCCGCCTGGGCGACCTGGACACGTGAAAACAAGTGTCTCTCTCAAGCCATCCTGAAGAAGCCCTCATGTTAGACATCCGCCTGGGCGACCTGGACACGTGAAAACCAAGCGTTTCCCTCAACACATCCTCAACACATCTTCATGCTAGACATCCGCCTGGGCGACATGGCTGGGCACGTGAAAACAAGCGGTTCGCTCCAAACATCCTCATGCTAGACATCCGCCTGGGCGACCTGGGTACGTAAAACCAAGCGTATCGCTCCAAACATCCTCAACACATCTTCACGTTAGACATCCGTCTGGGCGACCTGGGCACGCGAAAACAAGCGTTTCGCTCGAGACCTTCTCAACCCATCCTCATGTTAGACATTCGCCTGGGCGACCTGGACACGTGAAAACAAGCGTTTCACTCAACACATCCTCAACACATCTTCATGCTAGACATCCGCCTGGGCGACCTGGCTGGCCACGCGAAAACAAGCATCTCGCTTGAGACATCCTCAACCAATCCTGATGCTAGACATCTGCCTGGGCGCCCTGGGCGCGTGAAAACAAGCGTCTCGCTCAAGACATCCTCATCACATCCTCATGCTTGACATCTGCATGGGCAACCTGGAGGCGTGAAACCAAGCGTCTCGCTCGAGACATCCTCAAGACCTTGGCACGTGAAAACAAGCGGTTCGCTCCAAACATCCTCATGCTAGACATCCGCCTGGGCGACCTGGGTACGTAAAACCAAGCGTATCGCTCCAAACATCCTCAACACATCTTCACGTTAGACATCCGTCTGGGCGACCTGGGCACGCGAAAACAAGCGTTTCGCTCGAGACCTTCTCAACACATCCTCATGTTAGACATTCGCCTGGGCGACCTGGACACGTGAAAACAAGCGTTTCACTCAACACATCCTCAACACATCTTCATGCTAGACATCCGCCTGGGCGACCTGGCTGGCCACGCGAAAACAAGCATCTCGCTTGAGACATCCTCAACCAATCCTGATGCTAGACATCTGCCTGGGCGCCCTGGGCGCGTGAAAACAAGCGTCTCGCTCAAGACATCCTCATCACATCCTCATGCTTGACATCTGCATGGGCAACCTGGAGGCGTGAAACCAAGCGTCTCGCTCGAGACATCCTCAAGACCTTGGCACGTGAAAACAAGCATTTTACGTGAGACATCCTCTGAAGTCTGATCCCCAGAAGAGCAACGACCTATAGCACATATCAAGCGTTTCGCTCGAGACATCCTCAACACATTATGCAACACAAACGTTTCGCTCGAGACATCCACAACAAATTGGAATGATTACTTTACCATGTGTTTTATCGATCGGATTTCAACACCAACGTTTCGCCAGGGATATCCTCAACATTTTAACTCGCCGGCCCGATGCGACCTCGTTATTAATCGCGGATTGAATTTGCCAGCCCATCTCAAGTCGAGGCCGGGGGGAAACAACTAAAAAAGAACCCTGGGCCCATGCCCTTCCCGGGAAGAACGCCCCCAACGCAGTTAAGAACAACTACGGCTCCTCCTCCTCCTCCTCCTCCTCCTGCTGCTTCCTGCCTCCACCTCCTCCTCCTTCTGCCTCCTCCTCCTCCTCCTCCTCCTCCTGCCTCCTCCTACTCCTCCTTCTCTTCCTCCTCCTCCCCCCATCCACGAGCGCTCCCTCGCTCGCTGGAGTAGGAGGCATGAGGAGCGGTGAGACGAGTGAGGTAATCCGAGGAAGGAGGGGGAGAGGGAGAGAAGCGAGGCGACAGGTAGGAGAGAGATGAGAGGGAGATAAGAGGGAGAAGCGAGAGGACGAGCGAGAGGATAGGAGGACGAAGACGAGACGAAGACGAGGCGGGAGGAGGAGGAGGAGGAGGAGGAGGAGGAGGAGGAGGAGGAGGAGGAGGAGGGAAAACGAGCAGGGGGGAAGGACGGCGACACCGACGCCGCCCTGCCTCGGCGACGTGCAAGACGTCACTGCAGGCAGGAGGGACGCCTGCTCTGCGCGGCTGCACGGGGACGCGGGGGGAGGGGGGGGGGGGCACGCCCTGGCGTGCAGGCCAGTGCGGGGGGGGGGTCCCTGCGGGCACGCACCACGGGGTCGCCATAGCGGAGAGGCACTCTTGCGCGTCCCCCTCTCCTCCGACGCGTTGCAAGCTGTTCGTGACGCCGGCGCACGGGGATCCCAAGCACTTCCCCGAGACTGGTCGAACAGCCGCAACCTGTTCAACGGCCCCGGGGCCCTGCGGGCACGCACCGAAGGTCTCTCCAGCGAAACACGATCGACCCACGAACGCGGAAAGGAACACAGGTCTGTAAGGCATGGCAACGTTTCAAAGGCACCTCATTGGGCGACGGGCAAATGCAATGCTGAGTGTATCGATCTTGGCGTGCCAGGCCGAAAGCTGTGCTGTGCTGCGCCGTGCTGAATTGCGCGATGTGCCATGCCGCGATTGTGCTCTATAGCGTTGTGGATGGAGTCCTCCTTTGCATCCGAGTCCTGATCGAAAGGATCTGGATCTTAAGCTCGAGCTGCCTGAGCACATAGTAGCTGCCCCAGAGCTAATTGACAGGGGGACATGCCAGGAGGACGCGCCGCGGAACGTCCCAAGGGACGCGCCAGGCGACGTGCCAGCGGAGGTGCCATGGGGACGCACCGCGGAACATGCCAAAGGGACGCGCTACGGAACGTGCCAATGGACGTGCCACGGGACGTGCCAGGGGACGCGCCGCGCGACGTGCCAGGGGGACTCGCCACGGGACGCACCACGGGGCGTGCCAAGTTGCAATGCTGAGTGTAGCGATCTTGATGTACCGTGCCGAGGGCTGTGCTGTGCTGTGCCGTGCTGAATTGCGATGTGCCATGCCGCGTTTCGCTCAACACATCCTCAACACATCCTCATGCTAGACATCCGCATGGGCGAACTGGACACGTTAAAACAAATGTTTCACTCGAGACATCCTCAACACATCTTCATGTTAGACGTCCGCCTGGGTGACCTGGGCACGTGAAAGCAAACGTCGCGCTCGAGACATCTTCAACACATCCTCATGTAAGACATCCGCCTGAGCGACCTGGACACGCGGAAACAAGCGCTTCGCTCGAGACATCCTCAACACATCCTCATGCTAGACATCCACCTGGGCAACCAGGACACGTGCGAACAAGTGTCTCGATCGAGACATTCTTCATCAACACATCATCATGCTTGACATCCGCCTGGGCGACCCGGACGCGTGAAAGCAAGCGTCTCCCTCGAGACATCCTGAATAAATCCTCATGCTAGACATCTGCCTGGGCAAACTGGACGCCTGGACGCGTAAAACCAAGCGTCTCGCTCGAGACATCCTCAAGACCTGGGCACGTGAAGACAAGCAGTTCCCTTGAGAGATCCTCTGAATTCTGGCCCCCAGGAGAGGACCATCTCTAACACAAGACAAGCGTTTCGCTCGAGGCATCCTCAACGATTTCTGCACAACAGGCGTTTCGCTCGGGACATCCTCAAATTTCAATCTCGCCCCTCCTATGGGACCTCCTTATGCGTCGCAGACTAAAAGTCGCCGGCCCTGCAGCCATCGATTCCAGGGGCAAACCTCGAAAAGAGAACCCTGGGCTAGAGCCCTTGTCGGGAAGACGAAATACCCTGATGCGTGCCCTCTCCTCCGACGCTGCAATTTGTTCGCGACGCCGGCCCACAGGGATCTCGACCACTTCCCCAAGGCTGGTCAAACAGCTAGGTACTTGTCTGACGCCCCCGGGACCGAGAAACGACGCCGTCGGCCACAATCTTTACTCTGGCAGCGCACAAGGATCTGAGTTCGGAGGCTTGGAAATGGGCACCAACACCAGCACAGGGGGTTGGCTCCACAGGGGGAAGATGATCCTGGACTTCGGTGTTGTTGGTCATATTTCGGACACCTTGGAAGCTAGACTATGACCACCATCACCGAGATCGGGATCTTCTTCCCTCGGTGGAGGCACACCGCCGATATTGGAATTGGCGTCCTTCTCCAGGCCTGCGATGAGGGGAGCCCCCTGGCCGCCCCCCGACATCTCGAGCTGCAGCTCGACGATGTCCCGGCGGAAGGCGCGGCCCCAGTAGTACCAGCCCGCGCCTCGGGCGTACCCCCCCTGGGGGCCCTGCAGGAGGAGGAGGAGGAGGAGGAAGAGGAGGAGGAGGAGAGAGGAGGAGGAGAGAGGAGGAGGAGGAGGAGGAGGAGGAGGAGGAGGAGGAGGAGGAGGAGGAGGAGGAGGAGGAGGAGGAGGAGGAGGAGGAGGAGAAGGAGGAGAAGGAGGACCTCGCGGACCGCCCCGCGCCGCGACGGCGCGCCGGGAAGCTTCGCCGCTGACCCTCGAGACAGCCCACAGCTCCGACGGCTTGTCGGGCGTCGCCGCGAGCTGCTGGAGGCTCTCCCGCGTCGGGCATGTGTTCCCGCAGCCGCGCCTCTCCGAGGGCGTTGCTGGGGAGAGCCGGATCGGCGAGACGGCCTCCGCAGACCGGAGACGTATGGTTCGGCGGCCTCACCTCCTCTCGTCGTGGAAGGAAGAATCCTGGCCGGAGGTTTTTGGCCGTCGGCCTCGGGGGGCCCCCCTGCCAGGCTCCCAGGCCGCCCAGAAAGGACGCCGGGGGAAAGTTCCAGACCTCTGGGTGTCCACGGTGCTTTTCGACAGACGTGTTGTAAATATCGAAATCGAAACTGAAGCGGAATTCCAACGTCTATCTTTGTTCTCGTCGTCGACCCCTGGAGGTTGTGCCCAGGGGCCCAGCTTTTCATGCTGAAGCGTTTTTTCCAACCATCCTGTGGTGTTGGGTCCTCGCTTCGAAGAACGAGCGCCTCGTGTTTCCTTCTTCCCTCCTCCCCCTCCTCCCCGCTCTCCTCCTCTTATGCCTGCCTCTGCCCTCCGCGTACTTATTTCGGCAAACCTCTCACACGTTTCGTGGCCCCGTAGGGAGCCCCACCGAGGACCCAAAGGGCATCGTCCGTATGTGGGCGTCACCCACGCTTCGGCATACCCCTCACGCGTTTCGTAGCCCCGTAGGGAGCTCCACCGACGGCCCCAGAGGCACCGTCCATATGGGTCGGCGCACCCCTCGCACACGTTTCGGAATAGCACCATAAAGAGCTCCACCGACAGCTTCAGAGGCACCGTCCACATGTGGGCGTCACGCCCGCTTCGGCACACGACTCACACCGCTTGCGGCCACATAGGGAGCTCCACCGACGGCCCCGAAGACGCCGTCCACGTGTGGGGCGTCACGCCCGTTTCGACATACTCCTCACCCGTCTCGCGACCCCAGAGGGCGTTCCACTTCAGGCCCCAATGGCAGGGTTCAAGTGCGATCCCAGGCCCATTTCGGCAGACCTCTCACACGTTTCGTGTTCCATAGGGAGGTCCATTGAAGGCGACATCCACAAATCCAGTACTCACAACCGCACATGTCTGGGCCCGCGCAAGTTGATGGCCCCACGGCTCGGCGAAGGCCTCCGGTGGCCGAAAACCATCGACACCGCAGTCTGTCGTGCGAGACGGGGCCCGGGCCGCCCTCTTGTTCTTCGGCAGGCCACTGGGCGCGCACACCCGAAGCGTCCGTGGGCCTTCCTCCTGACTCATGCTCTCCTCCCATCGGCCGCTCACAGGCAGCCGCTATAGATCCCCAGAGCCTCCCCCGCGCGGCACCCGCCGCGCAACAACGACGTGGAGGAGGAAAAGAAGGAGGACGAAGAGGACGAAGACGAGGACGATTAGGAGGAGGAGGAGGAGGAGGAGGAGGAGGAGGAGGAGGAGGAGGAGGAGGAGGAGGAGGAGGAGGAGGACGAGAGGAACAGGACGAGGAGGAGGAGGAGGAGGAGGAGGAGGAGGAGGAGGAGGAGGAGGAGGAGGAGGAGGAGGAGGGAGGAGGAGCAGGAGGAGGGGCGGAGTTTACACCGCAGCGGGTTCCTCTCGAGTTCTCAGAGTGCTTGCCACTGAGCCCGTGCCCTAACTCGTTCGGCTTTGCCTCGGTTGCTCGTCGGAGGATCTTCGGCGCGCAATGTCTTGCGCAGGAGGAGGCGGAGAAGGAGGAGGAGGAGGAGGAGGACGAGGAGGAGGAGGAGGAGGAGGGGCGGAGTTTACTCCCCGCCGAAGGAACGAGGAGGGGATGGGGAGCGCAAAACTGAAGACCTCCTGAGGACGAGGAGGAGGAGGAGAAGGAGGAGGAGGAGGAGGAGGAGGAGCAGCAGCAGCAGCAGCAGCAGGAGGAGGAGGAGGAGGAGAGGCGGAGTTTACTCCCCGCCGAGGGAAACCAGGGGGGGGTGGGGAGCGCAAAACTGAAGACCTCCTGAGGACGAAAGGATCAGGAGATCAGGAGCCTGAGGGTGCCGTCTGACTAGCAAACAGCCTCGGGGGACCTCAGATGAGGTCGAAGGCCAGACCGAACGACACGACGACCGTGTCACCGCCTGCGCCTGGGGGGCGCGGCCTGCGGCCAGCGCAGCGCGCCGCCGCCGCCGCTGGGCGCGCAGAGGGACATCGACCGGGCGCTCTCAGGCAACGCCCTCGCCCGCGTCGCTGCCCTCGCCGCCGCCGTGCACCTGCGACGCCGCCTGCGCGCTGAGGCGGCCCTGGCCCTCGCGAGGCGCCGCCGCCCCAGGCCGCGGCCTGCGGCGCACCGCCCGAGCCCTGCCCAGCGCGGGCGGCAGGCCCGCAGGCGCCGCCAGCCAATTGCGGAGGCAGTACACCTCGCACTTCCGCGTGCTGTCGGTGACGCACCGCTGGCTCAGCGTGAGGCCCGAGCGATACCTGGCGTAGGCACCGCGCAGCCTCGCACCGCGGCGCCATGCGCGGCGGCACCACGCCTCCGCCAACTGCTGAGCCGTGCTGCCCATCGCCCCGAGGAAACGCCGCCACCTGGGCTGGGCAAGGACCGCCTCCGCGTACGGGGCGCAGTGGTCGAGCCAGTCGCTGGCCGCACCGTCGGCGTCGAGCAGCGGATCGATCCGCCACCGCCCCCAGCGGTCCAGCCTGCGTTCCAGGGCCAGCGGCCGCGGCGGCCGCTGCGGCAGGGCCGCCCTGGGCGGCGGCATCGCCGCGCGGATGCCGCGCCGCCGCAGCCGCGCGGCAAAGCCCGCGGGCGCCTCCCTGGGGGCCGCCCCAGCGCCGCCGCAGAGCCGCTCGGCCCGCGCCTGGAGCCGCCGCAGCAGTGCCTGCCTCCGCACTGCCCATGACTCGGCGCGATCACCAGCAGCGCACCGCGCGTCGGTCAACGCCGCCACGACCTGCGCCGTGGGAACACTGCCAGCCCCACCATCGGCAACGCCCGCCAGACCAGCCTCGCGAGTCGCAGCGCGCCGCCGCAGCACCTCCAGCCGTTCCTGCCAGGACGGCGCTGGCGCCGCGAAAGAGCTGCGGCGCGCCTCGACCTCCGCAAGCAGGCGGCTGGCCTCTCCGCGCGCCCGCCTCCCGGCGGGGCAGCGGCCTGCACGTCCGCCAGCGGGGCCTCCTCCGCGCGCCCGCCTCGCAGCTCTGCGGGAGCCCCGCGTGTCGCAGTCTCATGCGCGCCTGCCTTCAGGGCCACCTCCGCGCGCCCGCCACACGGCGCTGCGAGGGGCCCGCGCGTCGCGGTCCCCTGCGCGTCCGCCAGCGGGGCTTCCACATAGCCGTGGGCTACGACCGCCCCGTCGATGCCCTCCCCGGAGCTGTCGCCGACAGAAATGCTCTCGTCGCGCACCAGCGTACCCGTAGCCCATGACCTGCCCGTCTTGGGGTTCAGACCTCGCAGCAGCCTGTCCCTCCTGGCCGCCAGGTTGCTGACGTAGGTGCGCTGGTGGTGCCCATTGTCGGTGGGCGGCCCGCAGCACGCCTCCTGCGGCCCCCATCGCCGCTCGGGCCTGCGTCCGCGCGACGCAGGCCTCGCAGAAGATGGTGGGCCCCGCGCGCCGCAGCCGATGCCCGAGGTGCGGCGCCGCGCCACCGCCGCCCCCCTCGCGAAACCAAGGGTTCGGCCTCTGCGCCAGCTTGCAGGGCCTGCCACCGTCGCACTGCTGCCGCGCCTCAGCATCCAGGCCCTCGGCGTCGCCCATCCAGTATGGCCCCGCACCGACATGCGCCGCCTCAGCCGCCGCCTTGAGGCGTGCCAGCGGCGTCGGAAAACAGCTCGCCCTGACAAACTGCTGCGCCGCCGCCCCTGCCTCATCGCGGGATCGGCGCCCGCGCTCGGTGCGCAACATTCCGCGCTTGCCCTGCGCGCGCACCAGGGGGCGCCCCACCGCCGCCAGCTTCGGCGCGGGCGGCGGCGGCGCCGCGGGCGCGCAGCGCGCCTCGGGGGCCCAGTCCCCGATGGCCAGGCAACGCTGCATGGCCCATCCGATGTAATCAGCCACCTGCTTGAAGCACTTCACCTCGATGGCGTAGAAGTCCGCGCGCACCCGGGGCGCCGCGTGCTGCAAAGCCCCCTGCTTGGCAAACCAGTCCGCCCACATGTTGCCCGCGTACAGCACTGGGTGAAGCCCCGCCGCCGGGTGCCCATCGACGTCCTGGTGGGCGGGGGCCCAGAACACCTCGGGGCGGCACGGTTGCTGCCGCAGATTCCTCCACACCGTGGCGTGCACCGACTTGGCTCGATCCAGCTGTGGCCCCCAGCTGCTAGCCTCCTGGGCCAGCGCCGGCAAGTCAGTGGCCACGAACCGCGCCTGCTGCCCCAGGAGCTTGGTGACCTGCAGGAGCGCGCGTCGCTCGGAGCGACCCGCCGTCTGCAGGCGGCCAGGAAGGGCCCCGAAGGCCGCGCGAACGGGCGCCCCGTTGGAGCCGAGCTGGACCAGCGACCACCCGCAGCGCCTCAGCTCGGGCATGCTGCTCGCGAAGCCCGAGCCATCGGTGAACGTAATGTTCCCGCGCTGCTCGTCGCTCGTGCCGCTCCAGTCACCCCGGGGCCTGACCTCCGCCTCGTCGGCCGCAGGCGGCACGCGCGGCGGCCGCACGGGTAGCCCGACCTCATGCTCGAACCCGCTGAAGTCCGCGACCCCCACGCCGCCTGCCTGCAGACCCTTGTCGCGCATAGTAGTTCATATCCGCTGCAGTCGGTCAGGGAGGACGTCCTGCTCTACCGACGGCCTCTTCGCAACGAAGCATGCCGTGCCAAGTTCACTGCCTCCAGGGGGGCTAATTAGCCTGGCGCGCGCGCAGCAGGGCCTCGCAGTCGTACAGCCCGTGGCCAGGGGTGCCCGCCCCCGCTCCGCACGCCAGAACGTCTGGCTGCCCCTGCCTGGTCCACGGCGTGCCTGCCCAGTGGAGCCTGAGGCTGGTGGCAGCATGCCCTTCGGCAACAGCGGCACCCTTGCCACCCACGCACAGCCTCAGGACCCGCATCCAGATCGGCCCCGTGGGCTGCGCACCGCCGAAGTGGCTGAGGATCTGTCGCCCTTGCCAACGGCTGACCCCCTCGACGAGGTCAGCCTTGAGGTCCGACGGCGAGGTGGCGAGCAGGTTGATGTGTTGCTCCTCGTCAGTGACCAGCACCAGGCTAGACCACATGTGCCAGCCGATCCTCCAGAGCGTGAGCGTCGTCGAGGCGATCGGGCCGCGCGCCAGCCCCCACGTCGGGTTCTCGACCAGCCGCTGTGTGATGGAGGCCCACGCACGCTGAAGCCTGCCCAACGATGTCCTCTGCTCCCAGACCCAGCTGGAGTACCTAACCACGAGCGCCACCGTCGCCTCGTAGACTGGATCAAACCTCGCGCTGCGTTACGTGGCCAGGTAGATCGTTGCGCCCGACAAGCCTGGCCGCGGCCCCGCCATCCGGCTGGCCTCAGCCCGCAGCCGCTGCAACTCCCTGAGGACGAGGAGGAGGAGAAGGAGGAGGAGGAGAAGGAGGAGGAGGAGGAGGAGTAGGAGGAGGAGGAGAGGATCAGGAGCAGGAGGAGGAGGAGGGGCGGAGGTCACTCTCCGCCGAGGGAACCAGGGGGGGATGGGGAGCGCAAAGCTGAAGACTTCCTGATGACGAGGAGGAGAAGGAGGAGGAGGAGGAGGAGGAGGAGGAGGAGGAGCAGGAGGAGGACGGGCGGAATTTACTCTCCGCCGAGGGAACCAGGGGGGATGGAGAGCGCAAAACTAAAGACCTCCTGAGGATAAGGAGGAGGAAGAGGAGGAGGAGAAGGAGGAGGAGGAGGAGCAGGAGGAGGAGCAGCAGCAGGAGGAGGAGGAGGGGCGGAGTTCACTCCCCGCCGAGGGAACCAGGAGGGGATGGGGAGCGCAAAACTGAAGACCTCCTGAGGACGAGGAGGAGGAGGAGCAGGAGGAGGAGGAGGAGGAGGAGAGGCGGAGTTTACTCCCCGCCGAGGGAAACCAGGGGGGGATGGGGAGCGCAAAGCTGAAGACTTCCTGATGACGAGGAGGAGAAAGAGGAGAGGAGGAGCAGGAGGGAGGAGGAGGAGGAGGAGGGGAGGAGGAGGGAGCAGGAGGAGGAGGAGCAGGAGGAGGAGGAGGGGCGGAGTTTACTCCCCGCCGAAGGAAACCAGGGGGAGAGGGGGAGCGCAAATCTGAAGACCACCTGAGGTTAGCTCAGCGGGCCCCCCCCCCGAAAGGGGGCCTCCACAGGCCGAGCCCGGGGCGGCGCGCCCGCCTGGACCTCCTGCGCCGCAGGGCGCCGGAGGCCGCAGGCCCGCGGCAGGGCCGGGCCAAAACAACACTTCTCGTTTTCGTGTTGTGCTCGTGTTCTTCCTCCTCCTCCTCCCCTCCCCTCCTCCCTCGTCCTTCCTCCTCATCCCCTCCCCTCCTTCCCTCCCTCCTCCTCCATCCCCCTCCTCCTCTCCCTTCCCCCCTCCTCGCCCTCGTCCTCCTCCTCCTCCTCCTCCCCTCCCCTCCTCCTCTCCTCTCCCCTCCCCCTCTCTCCTCGCCTCCGTCCTCGTCCTCGTCCTCGTCCTCGTCTCTCCTCCTCTCTCCTCCTCCTCCTCCTCCATCATTCTTCCTATTTTCCTTCCTCCTCCTCCTCCTCCTCCTCCTCCTCCTCCTCCTCCTCCTCCTCCTCCCAGAAACACCGTTCAGGTCGAGGCCCGGCCCCCACAGCAGGAGGAACAGGGGAGAGGAGGCTCAGCGAGAGCCAGGCGGCAGAACGACGCCAGCGAGCGGCAACGCCCCTGGACGCTGCCTCCTCGCGAGCCCAGCGCGCTCTGCAGGCGCGTGCAGCCCCGCCGTGTCGAGAGGACGAAGCGAAGCTGCGGCATCGGGCGGAGGAGGGGCAAGGAGCACCGATTTTGGCGGAGGATGCTTTTGAGCTCCACGCCCACCTTCACCTACGCAATCATCAGCATGAATAGCGGCGGTGGCAAGCGCCGTTCAATTCAACAGGGAAGCCAGGATGAGCTCAAGGCTGCTGCCACAAGGCTCCCTGCGTTAACCCTTGCAGAAGCCCTCAGAGAGTGCCTATGACTCCCTCTGTTCGGCGGCGGAGTGAGAGGGGGCAGGCCTTCTCAGAAGGCGGCGGGACTTCTCAGAAGCCTTCCGGCCTTCTGAGAAGCCGTCCGCGACGTCGGAAAAGGCTTGCAAGGCTAAGGCGCGAAGGCTTCCGCGAAGCCCGGGCGCCTTCTGAAAAGGCCTGCCCCCTCTCACTTCCCCCCCTTGGGCTTGCCGCCGACAGGGGGCGTGGCCGCGTCGCCGCCGTGGCGGTCAAAGGGCAGACCGCCGCCGTCTGCAGAGGCCGCGCCGTCGTCGTCGTCGTCGTCGTCGTCGTCGCCGTCGTCGTCGTCTTCGTCGTCGTCGCCGTCGCCGTCGTCGTCGTCTTCGTCGTGATCGCCGTCGTCAGCGTCGCCTTGGGAGTCCCAGCCGCGCTGAGTGGCTCGTGCGGGACGTCCTCGTACACTCTTGCGTGAGACGATGGGCACTATGTCCAGGGAAGGGACTGTAGCACCCGATGCAAAGAAACACAAGGCTGGAACCAGCGGGACGCGGCCACCTCACGCTTGAGAGCATCGAGGCAAGAGGCGCGCAGATTACTAGCACCGATACGCGGACCAGCAGCTTGTATGTCTGATGACTGGAGGGGAACGGGAGGGTGGAGTAGAAGAAGAAGAAGAAAAAGGAGGACGAGGAGGAGGAGCAGCAGGAGGAGGAGCAGGAGGAGGAAAAGGAGGAGGAAAAGGAGGAGGAGGAGCAGGAGGATGAGGAGGAGAGAAGAGGGGGGCAGCGTCCTACTGAAGATGAGAGGGGGGAGGAAGAGGAGGTGAAGGAGGAGGAGGAGGAGGAAGAGGAGGAGGAGGTGAAGGAGAAGGAGGAGGAGAAGGAGGAGGAAAACGAGGAAGAGGAGGAGGAAGAGGAGGAGGAGGAGGAGGAGGTGAAGAAGAAGAAGAAGAAGAAGAAGAAGAAGAAGGAGTGGAGCAACCCAAGAGGCGGACCGTGTCAGGGCGCCATGGGCCAACAGTGAGAACAGGAGTCGGCTCGAGCACTCGTTGGCTCAAGAACCATCCCAGCGCCCCATCACGGCTGGAGTCCGCGCGGGCTCGTCCAGACTCTGTGGCTGGAGGCGGCGAGACTTACCGCGGAGACACGCAAAAAGAGGGCTGTGGGCGTCTAGAGCCGATGCGCGCGACCAGTGTGCGAGGCGGCAGAAGCAAACATAACGCAGCGCAGCCAAAAGCGTTCTAACGATTTCGAGGCCTCACGTAACGACCCGCCGCTCTCGGGGACAACCCGCCCCCATGCCCACGGCGGGGGAGCGTGACCGTGGGAGGAATGGGCGGGGATCCTCCAATGAGCCCCCCCCCGCACAGGGCACCCGCGACACCAGAGGAGGAGAACGAGGAGGAGGAGAAGGACGAGGAGGACGAGGAGAAGAGGGGGGAGGAGGAGGAGCAGGAGAAGGAGGAGGAGGAGGAGAGATGAGAATGAGGAGGAGGAGGAGAGAGGAGGAGGAGGAGGAGAAGGTGAAGGAGGAGGAGGAGGAGGAGGAGGAGGAGGAGGAGGAGGAGAAGGTGAAGGATGAGGAGGAGGAGAAGGAGGATGAGGAGGGGGAGGAAGGAGGAGGAGGAGGAGGAGGAGAAGGAGGAGGAGGACGAGGAGGAGGAGAGAGGAAGAGGAGGAGGAGGAGGAGGAGGTTCAGGAGGAGGAGAAGAAGGAGGAGGCGGAGCGGGAGGAGGAGGGGAGGATGAGAAGGAAAAGGAGGACGAAGAGAAGGAAGATGAGGGGGAGGAGGAGGAGGAGGAGGAGGAGGAGGAGGAGGAGGAGGAGGCGAGGGAGGAGGAGGCGGAGGAGGAGGAGGAGGAGAAGGAGGAAGGGGGAGGAGAAGAAGGATGACGAGGAGAGGGAGGAGGAGAGGAAAGAGCAGAGGAGGAGGAGCAGAAGGAGGAGGAGGAGGAGGAAGAAGCAGAGAAAAGGAGGGAGATGTGGAGGATGAGGAGGATGAGGAGGAGGAGGAGGAGGAGGAGGAGGAGGAGGAGGAGGAGGAGGAGGAGGAGGAGAGAAAGGAGGAGAGGGAGAGGAGCGAAGGAGGAGGAGGAGGAGGAGGAGGAGGAGGAGGAGGAGGAGGAAGAAGGCAGAGAAAGAGGAGGAGGAGGAGGAGGAGGAGGAGGAGGGAGGAGGAGGAGGAGAGGAGGAGGAGGAAGAAGGCAGAGAAAGAGGAGGAGGAGGAGGAGGAGAAGGAGGAGGAGGAGGAGGAGGAGGAGGAGGAGGAGAAGAAGGAGGACGAGGAGAGGGAGGAGAAGAGGGAAGAGGAGGAGGAGGAGGAGGAAGGCAGAGAAAGAGGAGTAGGTGGAGGGAAAAAAAAAGAAATGGAGGAGGTGGAGGCAACACCCCGCGGCGGGCAGGAGCCCCCCTCGGGCCGCGCCTCCCCCCCCCGGATTCTGAGCGCGGGCGCCTGGGCTGAGCAGGCAGGGCAGGAAGAAGAAGTTCGGCCCGAGGTCCAGCGGCCCCTTGGGGAACAACGCCTGGCCACGGAGCACGGGAAGGAGGAAGGCCCCCACCTCCTCTTGTCGTGAAGGAACCACGGCGGACGGCCTGTGATAATGTTCGGCCTCTGGGGGGCCCTCGCGGGGCCCTGGGAGCGCCAAAAAACGACTCGGGATGAAAAGCCGGCCCCAAAGAAGGGATCCAGACCTCTGGGGTCCATGTTGTAGAACATGATCGACCCACGACCCCGGAAAGGAATATAGACATGTAGTTAAGGCATGGCAACGTTTCAAAGACACCTGATTGGGCGACGGGCAAATGCAGTGCTGAATGTATCGATCTTGATGTACTGTGCCGAGCGCTGTGCTGTGCTACGCCGTGCTGAACTGCGATGTGCCATGCCGCGATTGTGCTCTATATAGCGTTGTGGATCGAGTCCTCCCTGGCATCCGGGTCCTGACCGAACTGATCATGATCTTAAGCTCGAGCTGCCTGAACAGATAGTAGCTGGCCCAGAACTATTCTACAGAGGGGACATGCCAGGAGGACGCGCCGCGGAACGTCCCAAGGGACGCGCCAGGCGACGAGAGGGCCCATCTATAGGAACATACGTAAAAACGTACAGATACGTACCCCTGGATGGGGCCAACCTATAGGCATTACGTAACCAATGACCTTGACCAAAACGTGTCCCGCACCCTGTGATTTATCGATCGCGATTTCAAAAACCAGCGTTTCGCTAAGGACACCCTCAACTTCTAACTCGCCTGCCCACCTCGACCTCGGTATTTATCGCAAAAGAAATTCGCCGGCCCACCTCAAGTCAAACCCGGAGGTAAACCAACTAAAAGAGAACCCTGGGCTTATGCCCTTTCCAGGAAAAGCATGACGTCGGTTTTCTGGGGAGGCGGGGGAGGAGGAGGAGGAGGAGGAGGAGGAAAAGGAGGAGGAGGAGAAGGAGAAGAAACAGAAGAAGAAGAAGGAGGAGGAGGAGGAGGAGGAGGGGGCGTGCCCGAAATGTTTGCAACTGATTCATCCTTTCTGCGCCTCCGTGATGCTTCTCGTCGACACGGCTGCTTTGCCCTTGAAATTCTGGCCAGAACGCATCCTCGGAGAAGTCTGGGACTTGATCTTTGAGGGGGGGGGAGGAGAGAGACGAGAAGGAGAAGGACGACCGGAGAAGGCCACCAAGTATTGACCAGCGATGCTGCAATACACCCTCCCGCCAAGTCCCCTTCGTCGATAGTCCCTACGACCATCCTTTTTCCCTGCGCGAAAAGCCCCTTGAAAGGAGACCGCCCCCTTGTGCCTGCAACTCAGGTGGATTCTCTGTTTTGAATGACCATCCGCCCCTCGAGCTATAAGCTATAAGCTAAGGGATGTGGTAACACGAGGTCATACAGTTCAGCGAAGCCCAAAGCGGAATCCCCGATGCTGAAAAGGATCCGCCAAACGTCCGTGTAGAATTCACACAGTCCCGCCAGACCTCTGGGCGTGAGTGGTCTGGGGATCTCGTTCTGCAAACTCCCTTCCGAGCTCCCCCAGTCCCCCTTACCCACTCCCCCTGGGTCTCGAGGGGGCGCTGCGCGAGGGGTTGGAGCGTCCAGGATGCCTCGAGATGGCGCCAAGAGGGTCCCAGAGAGCTCAAGATGGCCTCACAGATCGCCCAAGACAACCCAAGTGGTTCAGTATAGCCTATGGACGGCCTGAAATTCCTGACGACCGCCTATGGACGGCTCCAAGTGCCCTCCGAGCCTCCCGAGTAAGCCTCCAAACAGTCAAAATCCTTCACAGCCTTAGTGATTTTCAGTGTTGTTTGGTGTTTTGCCTTTTCGCTTCCGATGAACTCCTGAGGTCTCAAGGTGACTCCGAGAGGGCCCCGAGAGGGCCCAAAGAGAGGCCCAAGACGGTCCCAAGATCGCCCAAAAGCGCCCCAAGAGGGCCCCCAAAGGCAAATGCTCGGGCCCCAGATTGGGGGGGTATAGTTGACGCCGCCTCCATTTTTGTTCGATGGCCTTCAAGACGGCCCCAAGGGGGCCCCCAAGTCCCAAAGACCCCCAATCCTCCTCCCCTGTCCCTCCACCCCCCGTCCAGACCCCCCCTCACTCCCTCCAAAGTTCCCGAAGAGCTTCAAGCAAGCTCCTAGAGGTCCTTCTTCTCTTTCCGAAGGTAACTGCTGCCATCTGGTTGATCCACTGCATGCTGCGACACATTCCTGATCAGACCAGCTCCCCTAGCAACTGCTTGTGAATGGGACGGTGGGGATACGCGAGGCATCAATCAATCTAGACGTACGGATCAAATTCCGACGAAATCCAATGCGAGGGCCCCGCTTTGAAATGGGACCGCCCTCACCCGTGCAACTGCAACACATACTTCTACATGTGGTGGCATTTGACGAGGATGCGCCAGGCGAGCGAGAACCTCAGCTCAAAGAGGGCGCGCCGTCCGTCACTCCCTGTTCCCCCGTGACGAAGGTGCACGGCGCCAAAAACGAGAACCCCATCTGGAACACCGCTCGCCTTCTACCCGTCTACCTGACTGATGTCGTTTGAAAACCGGTGCCCGCGGCGCCAGAGCGAGATTCGCAATCCGAGAACCTTCCGCCTGCCGTCCGTGCAACGGCTTGACTTATGAAGCTTCAAGATTGCCAGCGGTGAGGTGGTCTCAGGAGAAGCCCCCCCCGCCCGCCCCAACGACCAGCCTGGTGGTGCGGCACGGGGGAGAGGGAACGGAGGACGACGGAACAATTTGGGCGAGGGCGTCTCTTCGTGACGCGAGCACGAGACACGCCTGCGCCCTCCGGGCAAGTCGCCCGAGTGCGCCGCGGAAGGGCTTGAAACGGGAGGAGGTGAAGGGCAGCGGTGCTGTGCGAAGGCCCCAATGCGGCCCAAACGGCGAGGGGCGAGTGGGGGGTCTGGGGGGAGGAGGGGCGAGCAGGCAGGAAGCGAGCAGCTCGGGCCGAGGTCGGTCGGGCCCCTGGGAACGAGCGCCTGGACCTGGGGGCGGAGAGGAGGGGTGAACTGGGAGGGCCCTTCGCAAGGGTGCGCCCTCAGGGGTGGCACAGAACCCAAATCGACTCGCCAACAAAACACCGAAAACGCCAGAGAATACTGAAGCACAGCTGAACCACGCCACCGAAACCGAATCGGGGCGGTCCAGCGAGAGATAGTGGGCCGCTTCTCCACCACCACCACCACCACCACCACCACCACCACCACCACCACCACCACCACCACCATCACCACTACCGCAGGTAGGAGAGGGAGGAGAGGGAGGAGGAGGAGGAGGAGGAGGAGGAGGAGGAGAAGGAGGAGGAGGACGAGGAGGAGGAGGAGGAGGAGGAGGCGGAGGAGGAGGAGGAGGAGGAGGAGGAGGAGGAGGAGGAGGAGGGAGGAGGAAGAGGAGGAGGAGGCGGAGGAGGACATATGGTAGTGCTGGTGGAAACTTTGCCCATCAGAGCCAGCGCGTCCGGCACGAGCCTTGGCCGTCTGCCGGCGCTTCGCTGCGCTGCGCTGCGCTGCGCTGCGCTGCGCTGCGCAGAGTTCGAGGCGTCCCGCGCGCCGACCGCTCGAGGCAGTCGGCGGGGGCTCACCCCGCAACGCCTGCGGCGGAGAAGCAGGAGGAGGATGAGGGCGGAGAAGCAGGAGGAGGAGGAGGTGGAGGAGGAGGAGTTGAAGGAGGAGGAGGAGGAGGAGGAGGAGGAGGAAGAGGTGGAGGAGGAGGAGGAGGGCGGAGAAGCAGGAGGAGGAGGAGGAGGAGGAGGAGGAGGAGGAGGAGGAGAAGGGCGGAGAAGGAGGAGGAGGAGGAGGGCGGAGAAGCAGGAGGAGGAGGAGGTGGGCTCCCCGCGCGAACGCACAGGACGGCCACCGACTGCCTGATCCGACAGCGCACCAATACGCGGGTGCCGCCCCTTGAGAAACCCCTTCATGATGCGCAATTGGTTAGCCCGAGCGCGTCCACACGGGAAAGGCCCGCGCACCGCTTCCGCAATTGACTGGTGGACCCACTTTTTCACCCGTGTCATCCGAAGCACAGCGACGGCAGCGAAACATATCGCCAAAACATCGGGGTCTCGCTCCTTAATGCTGGCCAACTCCATGGGAGGGATCGCCCCCGCGCGCGGCGACACTGTCGGCCTCCCTCCCATCAGCGGCTGCCGCCGCCAACAAAGCGAGGCCGGCCTCTGCCGATGCGCCCTCGTGCAAGAGACCCCCCCCCGCCCATCCATCGGCATCCCCAGACCCCCGACGTCATGATTTTTTTCATGACGCGCCCCCCAGAGGTCCAGACCCTTTCCCTATGACCGGTTTTTCGTCCTGAGTCGTTTTTTGACGCTCCCGAGACCCGGTGAGGGCCCCTGGAGGCCGAAAATAGGGAAAAACCTCCCGTCGTGATTTTTTCACGACTCGAGGAGGTCTGGGTCCGAAGACATGGCCCACACTCGGGCGGCGCTCCGCCGCCGGCAGGCGGCAGCCTTGCGACAGGCTCGGCCTCCTCCGTCCAGGCCGCCGGCCGCCGGCCCTGCGGGGGCCGGCGACGCCGAACCCTCGCAGCCCGCAGGAGGGGCAGGAGGAGGAGGCGGAGGCGGAGGAGGCGGAGGAGGAGGAGGGGGCGGAGGAGGAGGGGGCGGAGGAGGAGGGGGAGGGAGGAGGGAGGAAAAGGAGGAGAAGGAGGCGGAGGAGGAGGGAGCTGTTGCGCTCTCGGCGCCGCACTTCGCCAGTGGCAGGGAAGCGCGCAACGATGCTGCCACTGCGGCAGCAGAGCCGCCGGCTGCCCTCGTGCCGCGAGGCTCCATCGCCCGATCTCAGCGATACGTGCAGCGTTTTGCCCAAGAAGCGCGCGCGCGGACGAGAAGAGTCCAGGATCGACTTGTAGCTGCGGGCGGCACCGTGTGGGACCGCAATGTCCACATGCACCTAACCAGGCAAACAATTCCGCCCAAGAGCTGCCGGAGGCATCGAGCACCAACACTCCTCTTTCGACGACCGTCTCCACACAAACTCAGGGCATCGGTTCTGCTGGAAAAGGGCCTTCGACATCCCCCCACATGATTAGATGCCCGTCGCGGAGGCCAGCATGGGGTCCCAACCGCCCCCCTTGTCGACGAAATTCAGGAGATCACTCACGATCATCAGAATCTGCAGGAACACCTGGAGCGCTCGGAACCCTGCCAGTCGCCCCGCGCGGCCAACCAACCGAAGCTCGCCCGAGAGCCCCCCATACGCAGCGCGGATGGGGACTCCTCTGGTGTCGACCTGTATGCAGCTCCAGCCATAGCGTGCGCACTCGGACGCTCGGTTGCCGAAGTCCGAACCATCGGTATAAACGACGTCTCTCCACCCCGCGCGGTCTGGCGCCCAACCTCCCAAGGGTAAGACAGTCAGGCGTTGGCGGCTCGGGTGCGGGAGGGGGAGGGTGTACTCCAGGGGTCTCGGTGGCAGCATCAAGCCTGCCAAGCCTGTCCCGACAAACGCCCTACCCAGAGAACCCTTCCCCGGCTGATGAGGAGGGACAAAAATAGGAGGAGCGGAGAAGGAGGGAGAACGACGAGAGAGGGGAGGGACGGAAGGGCGAAGAGGTCGAAGACCAGACTACCTATACGACCACCCTTCGGGTGATAAGGAGGTGAGGGGGGGGGGGAGGGACCAACGTCGCCCTCGATCGATCTCACTCTCGATATCACTATCGATCTCACTATCGATCTCACATTCGCTCTCACTATCGATCTCACTATCGATCTCCCATTCGGTCTCACTATAGATTTCCCTATCGATCTCACATTCGGTCTCACTATCGATCTCACTATCGATATCACTATCGATCTCACAATCGATCTCACATTCGGTCTCACTATCGACCTCACTATCGATCTCACTATCGATCTCACAATCGATCTCACATTCGGTCTCACTATCGATCTCACAATCGGTCTCAATCACTATCGATCTCATATCGATATCACTATCGATCTCACAATCGATCTCACATTCGGTCTCACTATCGATCTCACTATCGATCTCACTATCGATCTCACAATCGATCTCACATTCGGTCTCACTATCGATCTCATTATCGATATCACAATCGATCTCACAATCGATCTCACTATCGATCTCACAATCGATCTCACAATCAATCTCACTTTCGGTCTCACTATCGATTTCACTATCGATATCACAATCGATCTCACAATCGATCTCACATTTGGTCTCACTATCGATATCGCATTCGGTCTCTCTATCGATATCATCATCACCATCATCATCATCATCAGCACCATCATCATCATCATCATCATCATCATCATCATCATCATCATCATCATCATCATCATCATCATCATCAACATCATCATCATCGGGACACTGACGGGACACCGACGGGACACCGGCGGGACACCGGCGGGACACCGCGCGCCACCGGCCGCCCGGTGGAGAATCAGTTGGTCCGGCCGAGCCTCAGCCACAGAGGACACCACCGGGACACCGGCGGGACACCGCGCGCCACCGGCCGCCCGGTGGAGAATCATTTGGTCCGGCCGCGCCTCAGCCACGGGAGACTTTCCTCTCGCCCGCCCACGCAGCTTCGCCTCGCCCGCACGCACGGCACGCACGAGCACGAAGCCGAAATCGATTTTTCCCGGTAGGGGGGCTCTCCGTTCCACTTCGATCTCACCCCCTCACCTCCGATATCATAAACAACAACTCTCCAAAGTTCGGTGGCAGCATCAAGCCTGCCAAGCCTGTCCCGACAAACGCCCCACCCAGAGAACCCTTCCCCGGCTGATGAGGAGGGACAAAAATAGGAGGAGCGGGGAAGGAGGGAGAACGATGAGAGAGGGGAGGGACGGAAGGGCGAAGAGGTCGAGGACCAGACGATATCATAAACAGCAGCTCTCCAAGCTTCGCGCTGCTTTCTTGGAGCGGCGCTGGCCCCGGCCGGGCCCTGGCGCGCGGAGCGCGCCGGTTGCCGGCGCGGGAGGCGCCGCCAGGGGATCCCAGCGCCGATGCAAGAAATCCGCGCGGACCTCCCGAAGTGCATGCTCGTGAGAGTTTTCCCTCCGCAGAGAGCACGGCGTTGTCATACAACTTTCGAGCTTGTCTTGCTACATAAAGCACATAATTTGTTTAATCGTTGATCGAGTATATAGAACTCGTGCTCTTAGACGCTTCCAATTCCGTCTTGGCCTCTCTGCGTGCTGCCCACTTCCCTGGTCGAGGCAGGCAATTCCTCTGGGCATCGTTTTCTGGATTGGCTGGTGGGGTTACGGTTAAGTCGGGCGTGTCCCCCTACAAGGGGATTTTCAACAAAAAATGAAACATACCCCAAAAATGCCCCCCAAAGGCAACAAAAATACCCCAAGCATCGTCCCCGGGCTATTTTGGGATTATTGTTTGATTATTTTTGGGGTATTCTTTATTGTTCGTCGAAAACTCCCCCTGTAGGGGGACAGGCCCGACTTAAGGTTGCGGGAGACGAGGCGGAGAGCGCCGCTCGCTCCTCCCTCCTCCCTCCTCCCTCCTCCCTCCTCTCTCCTCCCTCCTCCCTCCTCCCTCCTCCCTCCCCTCCTCCCTCCTCTCCCGCTCCTCCGTCCTCCTCCTCCTACCTTCTCCTCACTCCTCCCTCCTCCCTCCTCCTCCTCCCTTCCTCCTCTCCTCCTCCTCCTCCTCCTCCTCCTCCGGCCACCCCGCTGCGGGCCACGCCGCGGGGGGGCCTGCAGCACGATGCCGGCGGAGGCGAAGGCGCCGAACAGCACGAAGGTGAGGTAGAGCGCCTGCGCTCGGAGCGGGCGGCGCGGGCGCTCGACCCCACTCGCCATCCCACAAGGCCTTCTCGCGTGGTCAAGGGAGAAAGCAACGTATATATATAAATATATATATATATATATATGTATATACATACAAGACTGCAGTGGCGTTTCGCGCTATGCACCTTGGTCCTTGAAGTTTGGCATGCAGGCGGAATAGCAGGCAGGTCGTGCCGACAATTTAGCGATAACTCCTTGTTGCCTTTTCTGGCATCACCGCTGTAATTATGTTTTGTTCGTCATCCTTCCTCCATGCTTCTGTTTCCTCATGTTCGCCATACCCTGCGCATTCTCCCCATCCTCCTCAGCACTTTTGTTGCGGAGGCCCTTCCTTGGAGAGCCTCTGGGGGCCTCACAAAAGTTGCGTCAGGTTTTCTTAAGGCCTTCTGGCGGCCTCCTGGGCGTATTCTGGGGGCCTCTATACATTTAGACACGAGCTAGACACGATTTTGACACTTTCGGTTAGACACGGATCAACTTTTTAGACACGTCTGATCTTTAGACACGATTTAGGCACTCATGCACGGGGCCTGCGCGAGAATGCGATAGACACGCGGGTGCTTAAATCCTGCCCTAATCGCTGAAATTCTGCCCCCGCTGCAGCGAGAGCGCGTTAGACACGGAACGCGTCTTAATTATTTAGACGCAGTCTTCCAGGGTAGCGTCTTAACCCGGAATAGCGTCTTCACCCGGAATAGCGTCTTCACAAGAAATAGCGTCTTCACCCGGAATAGCGTCTTCACACCGAATAGCGTTTTCACCGGAAATAGCGTCTTCACAGGGCATAGCGTCTTCATAGAGGAAGTGCTGTCTGTGTCCGCAGAACGCTTCTTCACCGGGAATAGCGTCTTCACTGGGAATAACGTCTTCACCTGGAATAGCGTCTTCACCGTCTTCACCAAAAATAACGTCTTCACCCGGAATAGCGTCTTCACACGGAATAGCGTCTTGTTCACTGTCTTCACTAGGAATAGCGTCTTCACAAGGAATAGCGTCATCACAGGGACGCGTCGTCACAGGGAATAGCGTCTTCAAATAGCGTGTTCGGCGCCGGCGCAAACTGGGAGCCCTGGTTGCCGGGGCAACGTGAGTATATATGTATGTATATATATATATATATATATATATGTATACACATCTATATATTACTCATGTGTATATATCTATATATACAAGACTGCAGTGGCGCTTCGCGCCATGCACCTTGGCCTTTGAAGTTTGGTACGCAGGCGGAATAGCAGGAAGGTGAAATCGACAAGTTAGCGATAACTCTTTGTTGCGTTTTCCGGCATCGCCGCTATAATAATGTTATTCGCTATCCTTCCTCCATGCTTCTTTGTCCTTATTTTAGCCATCCTCCTCAGCTCTTTTCTGCGGAGGCTCCTCGTTGGAGAGCCTCTGGGGGCCTCACAAAAGTTGTTTCAGGCTTCCATCAGGTCTTCTGGAGGCCTCCAGGGCGTATTCTGGGGGCCGCCTCTGGGGGCTTCCTCGGGCCACCCTGCCTCCAACCGCGGTCTCCCTGAACGACCGGGTCACGATTTGGAATGCTTCGGAGGGTGTCTTTGGGCCATCTTGGGCCGCCATGGGGCTCTCTGAGGGCCATCTTGGACCCGTGTTGTGTCGTTTTGGGGCTCGCTTGGACTGCCTGGAAGCCCTTTCGGATGGTTGTGGGGCGATTTGGGAGCCTCCCAGGCGGCTTCGGACACCCAGAAGACCGCCGTCTTGGAGTGTCGGGAAGCCGAAAAGAGGAGAACCCCAAAATTCACCAAAAACCCACAGAAAATCAATCATTTGTGCCTCTGAGGGCCTTCTTGGGAGTGCTCTTGGAGGCCTCTTTGGGGCCGTCCTGGAGGCCTCTTGGGCCATCTTGAGATCACGTCGGTCACTCTTGGAGCGCTCTTGTGCTGTCTTGGGGGTCCCTGGGACGTCTCCGATCGCCCTAGGTGTGCTGGGAAGGCTTGGCAAAACGCCCTGCGAGGCCCGGGAACCGCTTCGAGGCCCGTCCGGAGGGTCCCAAAGCTCCAGATCCCGGGAGTCCGGTTGGGGGGGGGGGAGGGGGGACGGGTTTTCCCCCCGCCCAGGCTTATAAAAATATAGGAAGAGGAATATATAAATATATATATATATACACACATATATGTGTATATATATAAACATATGTGTATATATATATATATATATATGTAGACGTGTATATCTATATATATATATATATGTTATATCTATATATATATATATAAACATATGTATATATGTGTACCTGTGTATATATGTGATCCCCCCGATGTCCCCTGCCTGCTGGCAGCCCCGAGCAGGCGGAGCGAGCCCACGGGCGACGGTGCCCGCCTCGGCAGTGTGGCCTTCAGGCTGCCCGTCGGGGCCTCGGCGCCGCCACTCCCGCGAGGCCCCCGTCGGGCTCCCGCTGCCCGAGATGGGTCTGCCGCCCCGTCCACTCTACTCCCCTCCTCCCCCCCTCCCCTCCCTCCCCTCCTCCTCCTTCCTCCCTCCTCCCCCTCCTCCTCCACCCTCCCCCTATCTCTCCTCATCCTCCTCCCCCTCCTCCTCCTCCTCCTCCTCCTCCTCCTCCTCCTCCTCCTCCTCCTCGGCCGAGAAGAGACGGCAGAGCGGCGAGGACAGGGATCGACCCAAGCAGCAGTGTTCTTCGCTGTCGTGTTGCTCTCGTGCCCCTCGTTTATTGTCTTCAGTCCGCCGCTGCTGCACAACGAGGGCGGAACGGAAACGGCCCACGAAATCGCGCGAACACCGTTCAGGTCGACCCCTGGGCGAGGATACCGCCCGCTTTCACTCTCCTGCCCTCCCTCCTCCCCCCGCGCGCAGGGAAGGGGGAGGAGAGAGGAGGACGCCCGGGCGCGCGCCGGCGAGGGCGGCGAGGGCAAAGGGCTGCTCGCCTGGCTGACGGAGCCCTGCAAATTCCCGACGAAGCGGATCTTGCCCTGGCCGCGCCTCCTTCCTCCCCTCGGCTGCGTCGCCCCCGCCCTCCTCCACGCGTTTCGCGGGGCGGCCTGGAGCTACGGGGCTGGAGCGTTCTGCAGGCAGCGAACAAAACACGCGCGAGGCCGACTTCTGGGCAGAGCGGAACACACATCGTGGCTGCGCGCGAGCGCGGAACGGAAGGCGAGGTGGCCGTGAGTAGAGAACTAAACGATGACACAAATACAAAAACTCCGAGGTCCGCGCAGATTTCTTTGGATCGGCGCTGGACACCCCGTCCCTGCCGCGCGGAGCGAGCCAGGGGCGGCGCCAGGAGCGCAACCAAAGGGGGTCCAGCGCCGATCCGAAGAACCCGCACGGACATCCTAAAACAGTCGAAAATAGGTCCGTCGAATCCACTCTCCAGCGTCCTCCTCCTCCTCCTCCTTCCCTTTATCTCGTCGTCCCCTTCCTTCTCATTCCCTTCCTCTCGTCCACCCCCCACGTCTTCTTCCCCTTCATTCCCTTCCTCCCTTTTTTCCTCCTCCTCCTTCTTCTCTCCCCCTCCTCCTCCTCGTCCTCCTGCGTTTTTTCCTCCCCTTCCTCCTCCTCCTCCTCCTCCTCCTCTTCTTCCTCCTCCTCCTCCTCTTCCTCCTCCTCCTCTTCCTCTTCCCTATCCTCACCCCCTCGCGTTGCTCAAGCGTCGGTTAGCCGTCTGGCAGGGCTTGCACGGCTTTCTAAGACCTTCCCTTGCATAAGATCACCGCCAGAGTGTTGTTCCTGAGCGCTTTCCTCAGCTCCGATACGGCTGCAATATTTGCCAAGAGTGGCCCAAGACGGCCCACCACCGCCCGCCCAAGTGAAAATGACGCATCATGCGGCGGACAAGGAACACTGCAACAATTCCATGGCAGACCAAGACATTTAAACAACAGAAGACTCAACACACGTATGTCCTGTTTGCAACTTCTCGGCCTGATATGGGCCCACAAAACACCACACCCCAATACGGCATCATGAGGCCCCATAATCCCTCCAAGCCTGCCAGAAAAACATGATCGACCCACGAACCCGGAAAGGAATCTAGAAATGTAAGGCATGGCAACGTTTCAGAGACACCTGATTGGGCGACGGGCAAATGCAATGCTGAATGTATCGATTTTGATGTACCGTGCCGAGGGCTGTGCTGTGCTGCGCTGTGCTGAACTGCGATGTGCCATGCCGCGATAGTGCTCTATAGCGTTGTGGATCGAGTCCTCCTTTGCATCCGAGTCCTGACCGAACTGATCTGGATCTGAAACTCCAGCTGCCTCAGCACATAGTAGCTGGCCAAGAGCTAGTTGGCAAGGGAACATGTCAGGAGGACGCGCCGCGGAACGTCCCAAGGGACGCGCTAGGCGACGTGCCAAGGGACGTGCCACGAAGACGCACCGCGGGACGTGCCGAGGGGACGCGCTACGGAACGTGCCAATGGACGTGCCAATGGACGTGCCAGGAGACGCGCCGCGCGACGTGCCAGGGGGACTCGCCACGGGACGCGCCACGGAACGTGCCAAGTTGCAATGCTGAATGTATCGATTTTGATGTACCGTGCCGAGGGCTGTGCTGTGCTGCGCTGTGCTGAACTGCGATGTGCCATGCCGCGATTGTGCTCTATAGCGTTGTGGATCGAGTCCTCCTTTGCATCCGAGTCCTGACCGAACTGATCTGGATCGTAAGCTCGAGCTGCCTCAGCACATAGTAGCTGCCACAGAGCTAATTGACAGGGGGACATGCCAGGAGGACGCGCCGCGGAACGTCCCAAGGGACGCGCCAAGCGACGTGCCAAGGGACGTGCCATGGGCACGCACCGCGGGACGTGCCAAGGGGACGCGCTACGGAACGTGCCAATGGACGTGCACCGCGCGACGTGCCAGGGGGACTCGCCACGGGACGCTCCGCGGAACGTGCCAGGCAACATGCCAGGCTGCAGTGCTAAGGGTATCGATATTGATGTACCGTGCCGAGGGCTGTGCTGTGCCTGGGCGACCTGGACACGTGAAAACACGCGTTTCGCTCAAGACGTTCTCAGCACATCCTCATGCTAGACGTCCGCCTGGGCAACCTGGACACGTGCAAACAAGCGTCTCGATCGAGACTTTCTCGACACATCCTCATGCTAGACATCCGCCTGGGCGACCTGGACACGTGAAAACAAGCCTCTGGTTCGAGACATCCTCAACAAATCCTCATGCTAGACATCTGTCTGGGCAACCTGGAGGCGTGAAACCAAGCGTCTCGCTCGAGACATCCTCAAGACCTGGGCACGTGAAAACAAGCAGTTCACTTGAGAGATCCTCTGAATTCAGGTCCCCAGGAGAGGACAAGCTATGATACAAAACAAGCGTTTCGCTCGAGACATCCTCAACAAATTCTGAAACACAAGCGTTTCGCTAGGGACGGCCTCAAGAATAATTCCGCTGGCCCACCTCAACATCGATATTTATCTGGGAATAATTCCACCGGCCCACCTCAAGTCAGGTCCAGGGGTAAACCTCTAAAAGAGAACCCTGGGCCTAAGCCCTTTTCGGGAAAAACGGTGCAACGGTCAAACAACACAGTGAAGCTCGAAGATGGCCCCAATATCATGCCCAAGATGGTTCGGACGAAACTGTTTCGGAGAGCTCAGTAAAGCCGTCGCGCCAAAGACGACCTTCAGAAAGACGTGACACAAGCCCCCAACAAAAGGCTCCAGAAGTGGCCCAAAAGGCCACCGATGAGGCCCAAAAGAAGACCATGGTAAGACTCCAAGACGACCAACAGCGAAGCAGCCGTGGACCGCTAGGGCAGCGCCACCCTGCCATATCGTATCGATGCGCCCGAATGCTGCCAGACTGCCTACGATGCGACGGCGAGCCCAGCAACTATTCAACACATTCTGCCTGCTCGTGCATCCCGACCGTAGCATCAGAATCGCCTGCGGCACCCTCCATGTTGCGCAAAAAAACTCACACCACAACGGCCACATCTAGACGATGATCGAACAAACCATCGGCGGTATTCGCTTCATTACCAATTGCGCGTGGGCCGAAACCACCCTACAATCGCAAACCCTCCTCAAACAACTCATCCAAATTTGCACATCGTCCATCCCCCTGTCGCAACCCTCCTGCATCTACCCCCTTCTATCTCCCCAGCGTCGGGCTGGCCATCCGTGATGGCAGTGTGCGGGTGAAGAAAAGAAAACAACGAAGGGGAGAGGAAAAGAAGGGGAAAGGAGATTGAGAAGGAGGGTTTCAAATGATCCCAGTGGGGTTCGACCTACAAGGTTCTTCGGAGGTTCAGGGGTTCCTCTTGCTCCTGCCCCCTCTCGACTCCCCCATCATCGAACTGGCCTTCTGTGGCGAATCCTGCATGGTGTAATTCATGCTCTGGAAATAAGCTGCGACGCCGCCAGCCTTAGCAGCTGCGCAGACAGTGGATGAAAGCGCGCATAAGATGCACGGCAAAGGATGGACAGGAGAAGGAGAGGAGATTGCATCTCCATCATGACGACTAGACGCTGCTAACTGTAGGCTCAATGTATGTTGTCCTCCTCCCTCGGAGTTTCTGTGCGGAGGAGGGCAAAGGACGGAAACGAAACAGAAAACAACACAATGACAATGCGCTGCTGGAAGCTGTCGCGGAGCTCCGAACATGTAGAAGGCCCGTGTGTGGCCACGAGAAGCGACGCGTCATATACACGAGCACGCAGAAGCAGAAACAGCGCCCCAATGCCGGCGCGCGGCTACTGAGAGCGGCGCGATAGACCTCATCTCCAGGCCGCCGGCGCCGGTTCCTGCTGGTCAAGGGGGGATATGTAAGTAGGAAGAAAAAGAGCCAGGAGGGAGAGGAGCTGGAGGAGGAGGGGGAGGAGGAGCCGGGCTGGTGGGAAGGAGGAGGGTGAGGAAGACTCTGGGGGCGAAGAAGATGACGACGGGGAGAACACGGAAGGAGGACGGAGAGGGGAAGCCCCAGGATCAAGAGGTCAGGACAAGTAGCTACAAAAAGCGTGATAATATTACTCGAACTAAAAACTACTACTAATGCTAGATAATAGCAGTAGTAGTAGAAGTAGTAGTAGTAGTAGGAGTAGTAGTAGTAGTAGTAGTAGTAGTAGTAGTAGTAGGAGTGGTGGTGGTGGTGGTGGTAGTAGTAGTAGTAGTAGTAGTAGTAGTAGTAGTAGTACAAGTCGTAGTAATCGTCGTTGTAGTAGTAGTTGTCGTAGTAGTAGTAGTAGTAGTAGTAGTAGTAGTAGTAGTAGTAGTAGTAGTAGTAGTAGTAGTGGTAGTAGTAGTAGTAGTAGTAGTAGTAGTAGTAGTAATAGTAATAGTAGTGATAATAGTAGTGGTAATAGTAAGCATAAGATTCGTAGGAGCAGTACTACTAGCAGTGGTAGTAGTAGTAGTAGTAGTAGCAGTAGTCGTAGTAGTAGTAGTAGTAGTAGTAGTAGTAGTAGTAGTCGTACTAATAGTAATAGTCGTCGTCGTCGTCGTCGTAGTAGTAGTAGTAGCATTCGTACTAGCAGTAGAAGTAGCAGTAGTAGTAGTAGTAGGTATAGTAGTAGTAGTAGTAGTAGTAGTAGTAGTAGTAGTAGTAGTAGTAGTAGTAGTAGTAGTAGTAGTAGTAGTAGAATAGTAGTAGTAGTAGTAGTAGTAGTAGTAGTAGTAGTAGTAGTAGTAGTAGTAGTAGTAGTAGTAGTAGTAGTAGTAGTAGGTATAGTAGTAGTAGTAGTAGTAGTAGTAGTAGTAGTAGTAGTAGTAGTAGTAGTAATAAAACTAGTAGCACTAGTAGTACTAGTACTAGTACTAGTCGTAGCAGTAGAAGTAGTAATAGCAGTCGCAGTAGTGGTAGTAGTCGTCGTCGTAGTAATAAGTTGTACTGGAAATAATAGTAGTCGTTGTCGTTGTAGTAGTAGGAGTAGTAGTAGTAGCAGTTGTAGTAGTATCAGTAGTAGTAGTAGTGGTAGTAGTGGTAGTAGTAGTAGTAGTAATAGTAGTAGTCATCGTCGACATCGTATTATTATTATTAATACCGTTTGTAGTAGTAGTAAGAGTAGTAGTAGTAGTCGTAGTCGTAGTAGTAGCAGTAGTCGTAGTAGTAGTAGTCGTAATAGTAGTAGTAGTCGTAGTAGTAGAAGTAGTAGTAATAGTAGCCGCAGTGATAGTAGCCGTAGTAATAGTGGCAGTAGTAGTAGTAGCAGTCGTAATAATACTCGTAGTGGTAGTAGTAGTAGTAGTAGTAGTAGTAGTAGTAGTAGTAGTAGTAGTAGTAGTAGTAGTAGTAGTAGTAGTAGTAGTATTAGTAGTACTAGTACTAGTAGTAGTAGTAGTAGTAGCAGTAGTAGCAAGGTAGCACTCGTATCACTACTCGTCGTAGCAGTAAGAGTAATAGCGATATTAGTCGTAGAAGAAGTAGTAGTCGTCGTCGTAGTAGTAGTCGTCGTACCCGTGCCATTTGTATGTCGTAGTAATACTAGTAGTACTAGCCGTCGTCGTAGAAAGTGGTGGTGGTAGTAGCCGTAGTAGTCGTAATCGTGTTAGTAGTAGTAGTAGTAGTAGTAGTAGTAGTAGTAGTCGTAGTAGTAGTAGTAGTAGTAGTAGTAGTAGTAGTAGTAGTAGTAGTAGTAGTAGT